GAGACAAAGTAGCAATGATGAGCGAGGAGGAGGAAATTGAAAATGTCAATAATATTTTAGGAAACTACGACTGCATTAAAATGGGCATAAACTGGTCCGAGTTACTAGTTAGTTTAAACTGCCACTGTCATAACTATTTCCGCCGCTTCCAGGTACTATATATACGGTCCATTACTTATCCATTCGCTAAAACGCTATTTTCGAAATTTGTCAACCGGCTCCCTCCAGGATTAATTCCTCGCGTGGCTGACGCCAAACCTGTTAACATGATTGCAGCAGTGAAATCAATCCTTTGTCAGACGGAGGCAACGGAGGAGACTAAGAACCTCATCCGACACCAAGTATCGTCTCTCCTGATGGCCCACAGGCCGCGCTAACTGCTTTCCAATGCGCTTAGAGAACTCAAGGACGATAAAGACCTGGTCATCGTGCCAGCGGACAAAGTACGCGCCACAGTTGTACTGGACAGGACAGACTACCTTCAAAAGCCAAAGGTTTACTGGAGGACCGACAGTTCTATGTCCCATGTGCAACGAACCATCTAAAGGCGCTGACACGCGAAATTAATGCTACGTTGTTGGCCTTGGAGAACTCATGTGCAATAACACCGACCGACAGACGCATGGCGAGACCCCAAGATACGGCTTTTGCCCGATTCTATGGCCTCCCTAAGGTGCACAAAGACGGCGCTCCTCTCCGACCCATCGTGTCGCTCAAAGGGACTCCAACGTACGGACTGGCCAAGTGGCTGTTCCGGCGTCTCAAGTTCCTGACCGCTGAGTCAGACACCACGGTCTCTTCGTCAGCACAATTCCTGGAGAAACTCAAAGGGGTAAGCATCCATCCAAATGAGGTCACGGTATCTTTTGATGTTACATCCCTTTTTACTTCTATTCCCCAGGACCTGAAGATCGAGACAAATGAGCTGCTACTATAAAACAAATACGATGAAACGGAGAATCATCTTGGACACGCCCAAATCCTTCAGCTCCTGAAGCTCTGTCTCAGGACGCACTTCACGTTCAACGGGACAATCTACGAACAGGTGAAGGGCACACCAATGGGTTCGTCGATTTCGGGATTCATCGTCGAGGCGGTCCTGCAACGGTTAGAATCGCTGGTCTTCCAACACCACAGACCGACATTTTGGGCCCGGTATGTGAATGATACCTTCGTCGTCATCGAAAGGGATCAGGTGTTGACATTCCAAGAACATCTCAACGCCGTATTCCCGGACATTCAATTTACGATGGAGGAGAAAGAGAACAACCAACTGGCCTTCCTGGATGTCCTCCTATGCCGCAAAGATTGTGGTGAACTAAAAACTAAAGTATTCAGGAAAGCGACAAATATGATGAAAGTACTGAACTTCAACAGTAACCACCCAATCAGCCACAAACGCAGTTGTGTAAGGACGCTCTATCGGCGTGTCGAAACGCACTGCAGTGAGCCGGAAGAAGAAATTGTCGAACTACAATACCTCCGACGGGTCTTCAAAGCCAATGGCTACCCGCGCAACTTCGTCGACCGGTGCATACGCAAAAGGGACGAAAGGCCTAACCGCACGGACACCAAATCTTGGCGGGCACTTCCGTATGTCAAGAACGTTTCGGAAGCTGTCGGCCGCCTTCTCGCACCACTTGGGGTTGGAGTGGCACACATACCGGAGGCAACCATCAGGCGTCTGATCATGAAACCGAAAGACCCACTGCCACGGCTAGAAACGTCTGGAGTCGTTTATCGGATCTGGTGCAGTTGCGGACAAAGCAACTACGTCGGAGAAACCGGAAGACGGATCCGAACGAGAATGGCCGAACACGCGCAGCGGTGCGCAGAAATGACGCCAGCTCTCAGGTTGCGGCTCATTCGACGAGATCCGGCCACACATTCAAATTCGATGAGGCCGAAATTCTCGCAAGAGGTGACAACCGCGTAAGCCGGGAGCTACTGGAATCATGGTTTACTGACCCCCAGTCCATCAACAAGTGCAACGATCTTCCGACTCCATACTCCGTGCTAAAACTTCGCCTAGGCGGAGTAACAAGCCATGCGAGGAGGGCAGAGGTGAACACATTTCCCAACACCGGGGTCGGTGGGTCAGATGGTCGAGCAATCATCACGCCAACATCCAACGCACGTGATGAAATTGCAGCAATTATCGACTCGAATGTCGGCCATCAAGCAATGATCACACCAAGTGCGACGATCCCGGATGAAGGGGGGCGTGAGTGTTCATAGGTATGCGGTAGCATGGCTACTGCATCCTATAGATACCGCAGCCCCTTGTGCAACAACCATCCGTTTCTGCTTTTTTGTCTCTGATGATGGATTCGAGTAGGAATCCGAAAAGTCAGGCTAAATTAAGTGTGCCTAATCAAATTCCAGGCATCTACAATCTCTATTGAAACCATCTAACCGACAATAATCTCCACCAGCTCTTTACGTTTCATCTTCGAAAGGATTTCCTTGGCAGAATTATATTTTCTTGTATTCAGTTTCCAATAATTTAATTCAGTTTGAAGTAAACCCATGCCATAAGCAAGTTCGGGCGTTGATTTAGTTGAGTATAGGTATGCTTTGGACACATTTTCTGCTTTCATGCTTTCGAACAAAGTAATGCATTTGCAGCGTCTCACGCGAGCACAAACCATCCGCACTGTAAATAGCGCGATGACAGTTCTCGAGCGGCTAGAGCGTGCGCACATTCAGCCTCGCGGACAGCCAATCACGGGCGTCCTCGAGGCTGCTCCCCAACGGACTAACAGCCCAAGCTGACATTGGCTCTCGTCGCAGGCCGCATTATTGCTCACAACACCCTTCGCGGCGAAGCACGTGCAGGTCCTGCACCGGACGCTGACTACGACCAAACTCTTGCACAGAATAAAGACCTAATACTGGTGTCTATCCGCCTCCTCATACTCCCCTACAAAATGCTTAATATACGCCCACCACCAAGGCCGTCACATCATAGACACTGGGCAAAACAAAGGCAGGACCACAATATGCACGACTATGCACTTTTTGTGCACGTCCCAATAATTAGAAAGCGTAATCTGCGACAAAAAATACACTGCTTTGTAGTTCCCCATAATTGGCGGCCGTCTTTGAATGAGAATTATATCCGGGGAATGATCAAAGCAAGAGAAATTGATGATCGTAACCTTGAAGGCAAAACAAACAGTATGTCTGGACTGTCTTTTCTGAACTGGGAAATGTCTTTGAGGAAGGCCGGGACAGTCAGTATCATGTGACTCTGTTGAAAGACAGTCGGTGTCGCAATTGTTGACCGAGCTTATTTCGAAGACAATGTAATTGCATGTTTACGATGCCGTCGTTTGTCAGGACGTCCGCTGTTCGTGGGTAAGAGAACATTTTATACCTGTTGAAGAATAGGCCATTTACGTACGAAATGAGCATTTATATTATAGCACGATCTGCGGGCAATAGACTGGCCTCCTCAAGCCTTTTCCGCAAGTAAAATATCGTAGTAACCTAGAAAGAGACGCGACAGTTAGAAGAAAAAAATAGTTCTTCTGGCGATGGTAATTCACATTTAGACCTATCGACAGGGTAGCGGCGGTTGAAAATAATGGGTATCAAGGGTGCACTGTTAAACCGCGCGTTCCTCTCATAGATAGTTGCCCTGCCTTTTCCAAGTCTCCCTAATAAATGAGGATTAGGTTGGGAGGCATTATTTTAATGATTGACAGGGAACCGAAAAGTCGTGGTTCTAGCAGTTCGCAGTTTACGCTTTTCTAACCGCATGGGCGTATTTCACTTTCTCGAAACTTGAAGGAGGGGGGCGACTGGGGTCGTCGAATAAGCGGTTTGTACGACGGTTGGCGTCTCTCATCTCCACTTTCGCTGCATGTTCGGGTATCCGCGTCCATCTGAAATAATCGCCTTGTTTCTTCGGGGTTGTTACTTGGCCAGAAACTGCGCCAGACTTTTCCTATTCTGTCTGTGGGTTTCTCGGCCACACGGTTGGGCATCTGGTGATTGCCTCTTTTCTGTCTGAAATGCAAATTGCCGATGACATAATAAGACGACCGACTGCCATTGTGATCATCGTTGCGTAAGGAACGATTAGTCTGGTCTCATCAGAGCGCGTTCACCTTGAACGCCGGTCGAGGTTACTGCGATTCGGAAAACATGCTGCCGTATTCAATTCAATGCGTCTCAATGTGCCGATTTAACGTCTTTACACGACTACGCCTGGAGCAGACTGGTAAAAAATTAGTATGTCGTAACTGTTGTACTTGAATTGAGAAATGTCTTTAGGGAAGGACGCGACAGTCAGTGTCATTTGACTCTGTTGAAAGACAGTCGGTGCCGCAATTGTTGACGGCGACCATTTCGAAGACAATGCAATTGGATGTTTACGTTAGAATTGTCTGTCCAACGCACCATATTTACTGGTAAGTTTGCATTAGCGGAAAAATATCATGTTATTCCTCTACGGTGGGCTACCGTTACAGAACATTTTACATCCGGTGGAGAGTGTGCCATTTGCGTACGAAATGGCATTTATATTATTAGAGCAGGATCTGTGGGCAACGAACTGACCTCCTCAAACCTTTTCCGCAAGTAAAATATCGTAGTAACAGAGAAGGATGCGCGACAGCTAGAAAAAAAACAGTTCTTTTGGCTTAAATAATTCACATTTTAACCTATTGTCAGGGTGGCAACATTTAAAATTAATGGGTACGGAGTGGACAAGGCATATTTTGAACACAATTGCTTTTCTCCCATGTGGGACAATCAAAACTGATGATCGTACTCACTACGATTATCGTTGGTCGTCCAAATCTGAGTCCCGAAAGGCCGCAGTTTCGTCACAGATGTTGGCCGTTGGTGTGGTAGTGGCTGACTCTGGGGACTTGCTGATATTGTCACTGCAATTCGTGTTAAACCGTGTGTTCCACTGATGGATAATTGTCCTGTCTAGGTCCAGTCTCAGCAATAAATTAGGATTAGGAAGGCGGAAAGTATTTTTTGATGGACAAGGAACCGAAGTGCCGTGATTCAAGCAGCTCACATTTTACGCTGTTCTAACCACATATCTGGACGCCCACTATTCATGGGTAAATATGCGTTAGCCGAAAGAGACCTTTCTATTCCTTTACGGCGCGGTCATTTTACAGGTGGAGAATTTGCCTTCTGACGGTGACACAAGGAGGCAATTGACAACCTCCTTGGGGCACTTGCTAACAAGTAAAGTCGACTGATTAAATTTCATTGAAGTTCACTTGCCCTGGACCGCGATCGGAGTTACTGCAATTCTGAAATCGCGCCTTCCGACTCCGTGCAGGGCATCTCAACAAACTAATTTAGCTTCCTTACGTAATTGCTTCTGTAGCTGACTAGGTAGTTGCCGCTGAAACCCTGTACTTGCGTCATCCTTATTGCTTTCTTTTACACCAGTTTTTAAGTCAACACGATGTATGTATGCGTAATATTACACCATTTGTGCGCCTGCTCCAAAATCCGTTCTTCCTCCTGATGATGGGTTCAAGTGTGAACCCGAAGCGTCAGAAAAACAAACATTTTCTTTCAGAAAACGCGTCTCTATTTTCTCAAGTAATTTCTGAAAATCTTTCCTCGTGCCAATCCACGATCTGTTTCGATTTTGTGAAGTGAAAATCTGCAGACACATTTTTTCCAGCATTGAAGAACTGTAAATTGCTTCGTGTTTGACGTTTAGGGAAGGTTCAGAGCGACGCCGACGAAGACCTCCACGCCATGCGATAACCGAAACTTAGAAATACTGTTACCTTAATGGAGTTTGTAGAGAATGTTGTCTGATCATGAATTTTGCTGTCACAGTTCACTTTGTCGATTGTAACTGCTGGAGGCCGGGATTTTATTAACATTCGTTAGCTACTTTGATGCTAGCTAGTAGGCAGATAGATTAACAATTAATTTTACGCTCTATTTTAAACTGCATTACCGCATTTCCGGTGACTAAGGCCTTGTTGGATTTTTGAACGCACACTTAATTGCAGCAAAATCGACCCTGATGACTGAAGATTAGGGTTCTGCAAACCTAGGATTGAGCAAGAGTAGATGCTTTCCCTGAAACGATCGTTTTTATTTCGCCCAACGTTTCCTATTCGTGCATCAACAACAATCCTGTCATGTGTTTGCCATCTTGAAGATGAGGTTGGATTGCTTGTCTGAATTCACCTCCACAAATATCGTTCATCTATTTGCTGTATTTGTTACCAGAATTTGTTACCAGAGACAGAGTAGCTCTTCTATTCTCTAACACCTTGGCATTACAGGATGAAATTAGCGGGTCGAAGCACTCGGGGTACTTCTTGTAGAACGTGAGGCTCTTCGCGTAAGGCGGGTTCCTCCTAAACGATGTCTTTCTTGGGATTTTACGCATTGTCCTCCTTGAAGATTAGGTCGCTTTATTATTTGTATTCATCCCCACACAAGCCCGGTGTCAAGCAAAGATAAAGGGCAATAGTTTATGTCAACGCTCTTAGCAACCATCCCTTTCGCTCGTCGTTAATCAGCAAAATTCATCGTCAATATCTTCAGGCCTAGCCATACCAAAACATGAACAAACAAAGGGTCGTGATGCTACTGCTTAAGGCACACCCACCAAGTAAAACTCTAACCGCAAATCTTGTTCTCTACATTGACTGTTGCATTACGAGAGAAGTTTAACTCAAGGCTACTCATAAACATGCAAGTAGGCGAATTTTCGAGAACTAAAGCCCTGTGCGAAACAAAATCGCATCTGCAGACAACTTCAGAAATTTTGATTTATGCTAAACGCCATTCTACTTGCCAAGATCTTCAGTAGATGTGCTATTAGATGAAATGCTGGTCAAAATTCTGAAATACGTTTTTAATTCGTAAAGATTAGTTGGTTCGGATCATAATATTAATTATCGTGCGGCATATTTCAGTCACGACAGGATACCAGCTTACAGTGGCGCTTTTTATCAGGGCCCAGTATAAACTGCACTACGTAAAAATTAACTACTTATGTAATATGATTTCTCCCCACGGGTTTTTCTTGCTCCTACAAACTCAAAGATGACTTGTAAAAACCATGCACTTAACCGTGTTTTCAGTTACTCATTTAGTTGCAATCTATACCTTCGTCAAATGTTGTAATTGGAGATATAGTACCATCTCTTACTTGCATTTTGGGCATCTAAACTACAAGCCGGATGCTTTCCATGTAAGGGATATGACACATTTCTATGTGCCTTTAAGACGAGGTGATATAAGACTCCTAAAATTTGGTAAAAGGTGAAGTCTATGTTGTTTGTGTCATGAGCATTAATTAAACTGCTGGTGCGATGCCGTATGATTGAAAATTTAACGGTCCAAAGAAACCTCATAATCAAACAATTTTTTCGATATCTAAAGGCGCATATTCTTTGGGCTAGATCGCAGTTGGTAGCCAGGCCCCGTATTACAGGTGTCTGGGATGTTTGTTTACTGGGGCTATTTTGTGGGGTTCCATAATCACATCTGACTTATTTGGCTTCCGTTTTACATTTGAGGTTAGGAATAGGGTGCCGGTTAATGGTTTCCGATTTTCGGGTTAAGGTTATGCCTTTAGGCTTGAGTTTTCGGGTTACCGTTAGGGTTTGAGCATACGAATAGGTTTCAGTATTACGCCTATGTTTTCCAGTTACGGCTATGACTAAGGACTACGGTTACGGTTGCGATTTCGGTTAAGGTTAGGGTTGCCGTTAGGGTTAACCGTTAACGTTTAAGGTTGAGGCTAGGGTAAGGGTTAGGATTACGGTTAAGTTCGTCGTCCGCTTCCCCATTCCTGGCTACCAACTGCGATCTAACCATTCTTTGATTTAAAAAATTTACAGAAAGTGTGATTTTTTAGTATAAAAATACAATAATGAGTACTATTTGTGTATTTTTCCTATAAAATATATCTGATTTTTTTAAGGACATCAAAAATCAAGGTGAAAGACCAAATTATATGAATGGTCATTTTTGCGGAGTGCAGTTTTGCGGTCGATCGGAAGGAAACCCGGTCAAAGGCCGTCATCCTGACGTATACGAATTATCTTAGAATTACGCCGTACGATAATTATTGTTTCAACCGTACTTCAGCGGTATTTTCGAATCAGGAACACATTTTGGGATTTCAGCTCCAAAATCCGTTCTACCTTCTGATGATGGTTTCCAGTGTGAACCCGAAACGTCAGAAAAATAAACATTTTTTTCCGGAAAACGCGTCTCTATTTTCTCAAGTAATTTCTGAAAATCTTTCCTCGTGCCAATCCACGATCTGTTTCGATTTTGTGAAGTGAAAATCTGCAGACACATTTTTTCCAGCATTGAAGAACTGTAAATTGCTTCGTGTTTGACTTTTAGGGAAGGTTCAGGGAGCGACGCGGACGAAGACCTTCATGATTACCGAGACTTAGGAATATTGTTACCTTGATGGATTTCGTGGCGAATGTTTTCTGATCGTGAATTATGCTGTCACAGTTCACTTTGTCGACTGTAACTGCAGTTTGTATTTAACCGTGAACTGCTGGCGGCCAGGGTTTTATTTACATTAGTTAGCAACTTTTATGCTAGGTAGTAGACAAACAGGTTAACGATTAATTTGGCGCTGTATTTCAAACTGCATTACCGCATTTCCGGTGACTAAGGTCTTGTTGGATTTTCGAACGCACACTTTATTGCAGCAAAATCGACCCCGCTGACTAAAAAGTAGGGTTCTGCAAACTTAGGATTGAGCAAGAGTAGATGCTTCCCCTGAAACAATCGTTTTTATTTCGTCAACGTACCTTATTCGTGCATCAACAACAGTCCTGTCATGTGTTTGTCATCTTGAAGATGAGGTTGGATTGTTTGTCTGAATTCACCTCCCCAGACAGATACACAAATATCGTTCGTCTGTTTACATTGTTTCTTGCTGCACAGACATTCTGAATTTGTTATCAGAGACAGAGTAGTTCTTCCATTCGTTAACACCTTGACATTGCAGGATGAAATTAGCGGGTCGAAGCACTTGGGGTACTTCTTGTAGAACGTGAGGCTCTTCGCGTAAGGCGGTTTCCTCCTAAACGATGTCTTTCTTGGGATTTTATGCATTGTCCTCCTTGAAGATTAGGTCGCTTTATTGTTTGTTTTCATCCCCACACAAAGTCCGACGTCAAGCAAAGATAGAGGACAGTAGTTTATTTCAACGCTCTCAGCAACCATCCCTTTCGCTCGTCTTTAATCAAGAGAATTCATCGTCAATATCTTCGGGTCTAGCCACACCAAAAAAATGAACAAACAAAGGACCGTGATGCTACTGCTTAAAGCACACCCACCAAGTAAAACTCTAACCGCAAATCTTGTTCTCTTCATTGACTGTTGCATGTACGCGAGAAGGTTAACTCAAGACTACTCATAAAAATGCAAGTAGGCGAATTTTTGAGAACCAAAGCCCCATACGAAACCAAACCACATATACAGACAACTTCATTAATTGTGATTTATGCTGAGCGCCACTCTACTTGCCAAGATATTCAGTAGATTTGCAATTACAAGAAATGCTGGCCAAAATTCGGGAATACGTTTTCGATTCGTAAAGATTAGTCGGTTCGTATTATAATATCAATTATCTTGCGGCATATTTCAATCACGACAGGATGCCAGCTCACAATGACGCCTTTAATCAGGGTCCCGCATAAACTGCACTACGTAAAAATTAACTACTTATGTACTATGATTTTTCCCCACAGGTTTTTGATGTCCTTACAAATTCAAATATGCTTTATAAAAACCATACGCGAAAATTTGTTTTCTTTTACTCATTTAGTTTCAATCTTCGCCTTCGTCAAATAATATACTTGAAGATAGAGTACCACCTTTCACTTGCATGTGAGGCATCTAAACTACAAGCTGTATGTTTTCCATGTAAGGAATATTGTACATTTCTATGCGCCGTTAAGACGAGGTTATATAAGACTTCTAAAATTTTGAAAAAGGTGAAGTCTATACCGACTGTGTCAGGAGCATTAATTAAACTGCAGTTGCGATGCTGTATTAGTGAACATTTAACGGTCCTAATATATCTCATAATCAAGCGTTGTCTTAATTCTAAAGGTGCAGATGCTTTGATTTAAAAAATGTGATTAAAATGCGATTTTTTAGTAAAAAAAATACAATAAAGAATACTTTTGTGCATGTTTCCTAAAAAATATATCTGAATTTTTTCAAAGACATCGAAAATCAAGGTGAAAGACCAAATTATACGAATGGTCATTTTAGCAGAATGCAGTTTTGCGGACCATCGGAAGGAAACCCGGTCAGAAGTCGTCATCCTGACGTATACGAAACATCTTAAATTACTTTGTATGCTAATTATTGTTTCAATCGTGCTTCAGTAGTATTTTCGAACCAGGAACATATTTTGGGATTTCAGTTGATATTTTATGAGATAACATAAATACCGTAAGCCATAGCAGCCTCTATCGGTTTGGCCATATTTCATTTTTTGACTCCACCAAAACTTCTTCATGACTACTGTCTGTTACTCACACTTTGATAAAGTTATGAATAACCCTCCAATGTCTAGGTAGCAGTAATTGGCCGTCATCATCTGGAGGTGCTGCCTAGTAGGGAGAAGTAGCGTCAAGGGACTTCAAACAGAACTGCCGAACAAGGAACCAGCATACAGAGCTGGCCTCGCATTCCATGAGATCAGTCGGCATTGTGGAAGCGATATTTGCGAAAAATTCTCAACTGCACCCCAGATCTCTTTAAACATTTTAAATATTGCATATTATTAGATCAACTATTTTCAATTATTTTAGCCATTTTTCAATGCGTTCAAGCAGGAAAAATTTTTAAATGAATCTTTTCCCACCAAGAGTCGGAGATGACGTTCCACTTAGTCTTTTCTACTTTAAAATGTCTGCTTATTGTCCTTTAGGTAGGCATGTCGGGTTACGGTAGTCGTTGTGAGAGATGGAAAAAGACAAAGCGAAACGGGGTTTTAGCTGCAAACAGTAATACTAACGCTAGAAGTAAATCTGAAGGTTGGACTACTTATGACCCTCATAAGTCTTTCTGCTTCCCTTTCATAAGAATAATACTTGTGACAAAACAACTACGTCGGAGAAACCAGATGACAGATCCGTACGCTAATGGCCGAACACACCTCAGCAGTGCGGAGAAATGACGCCAGTTCTCAACTAGCGACCCATTCGACGAGATCTGGCCACACATTCAAATTCGATGAGGCTGAAATTCTCGCTAGAGATAAAAACCGCGTGAGCCGGGAATTGCTTGAGTCATGGTTTACTGACACCCAGTCCATTAACAAGTGCAATGACCTTGCCCTTCCATACTCGAAGCTGAGACTTTGCCTAGGCGGAGTAATTAGCCACGCGGGGAGCGCACAGGTGACACTGTTCCCAACGCCAGGGTTGATGGATCATATGGTCTAGCAATCATCGCACCATCATCCAAAACACGTGACGCGAATGTTGGCCATCAGTCATCACATCAATTGCAACAATCCTTGATGAAGGGGGGAGCCGTGAATATTCATAGGTATGCGGCAGCATGGCGACTGCATTCTATAAATACTGCAGTCCCTTGTGCATGAGCCACCTGTATCTGCTTCTGTCTCTGATGAGGAGTTCCAGCTGGAATCTGAAACGTCAGTTGATTAAAGCTCTTGTTCCAGCGATCGTGTCTCCTTCTTCAAGATCAGGAGGTTGTCATTTTTACATATATTGGTAATTCAAGTACTGGAATTGTGATTTTTAAAAGTGTACCTGTTGGCATGCTGCACCCTAGACCAGAGTCGACGTGTAACATTTTATGAGTTTTAGTGAGCCAGATATATGATTAATCAAATGTGATTTAAGGGCGGAAAGGATTGCTTTGTTCTTAGCAACGAACTTGGACGAGACAGTCTGACATAGTAGCTACATTTTTTGCGCATCTCCGGGTAAGACTATACCCGCAGGATATCTTGAAATTTAGAATTAAAATAGCAAACAGTAGTCATTTTTCTATGGATTGAATTTCAAACATCAGTCTAGGTATTTAAAAAGATGTGAAGGGATGGGCCCCTAGACAAAATAACGCGCTCTAGGAGACGAAATTACCTTAAAAGTAAATTTATTCGCCCGAAGTTTCCGATTCACAATGGAACCCACTATCAGTGACACTTCGCGGTAGTCCAACAAAGACTGCGTTTTTTGGGAAAATTGAAGCTTTCATGACAGCACTAAAGGCGACGCAAGTATTCGAGTTCATTAACAACAACAATTAAATCTGATCCAGACGTAGTTGTGTAAAGACGTTAAATCGGCATTTCGAGATGCACTGAAATAAATCTGAAAGCCTGGTTTCCGAATAGCAATAACCTCGACCGGTGTACGTGGTAAATGCGCTCTGATGAGACCAAAATATCAGTTCTATACGCAAATACGATCTCAGAGGCAGTCAGTCGCCTTATCGCGTCATTTGCAATTTGCATACAAACAAGAAGTAGTCACCAGGCTCCCAACCGTGAGGACGAGGGACCCACAGCCAGAATATGGGATGTCTCGTGCAGTTTAACGGACCTGGTACAGTTTCGGACTAAGTAACAATGCCGGAGAAACTAGGAGATTATTCCAGATAGACGCGGATGACCGAACCTGCAGCGGCAGTGGAGATGAGAGACGCCAACCGTCGAACAGACCGTTTATTAGACGATTCCAGTCGCCCACCCCCTTCAAGTTTCAAGAAACTGAAAAATGCCCATGGGGTAAGAACAGCGTAAACTGCGAACTGCTTAAATCAGGGTACTCATTATTTTCAAACGCCGCTACCCTGTCGATAGGCCCAAATGTGAATTACCGTCGCCAAAAAAACTGTTTTTTTTTCTTCTGCCCGTCACGGCTCTTTCTCTGTAACTAGGATATTTTAATTGCGGTAAAGGCTTGAGGAGGCCAGTCCACTGCCCACAGATCGTGCTATAATATAAATGCTCATTTCGTACGTAAATGGCCTATTCTTCAACAGGTATAAAATGTTCTCTTACCCACGAACAGCGGACGTCCTGACAAACGACGGCATCGTAAACATGCAATTGCATTGTCTTCGACATGAGCTCGGTCAACAATTGTGGCACCGACTGTCTTTTAACAGAGTCGCATGGCACTGACTGTCCCGGCTTTCCTCAAAGACATTTCCCAGTTCAGATAAGACAGTCCAGACATACTGTTTGTTTTGCCTTCAAAGTCACGATCATAAATTTCTGCTGCTTTGATCATTTCCGGCATATAATTCTCATTCAAAGCCGGCCGCCAATTATGGGGGAGTACAAAGCAGTGTTATTGTCGCAGATTACGCGGTTTCATTATTGGGGCGTGCACAAAATTTGCAGGGTAGTGCAGATTGTTGTTCTGCTTTGTTTTGTCCAGTGTCTATGGCGTGGGGGTGTAAGGGTGTCCAGTTTTAGGTCCACGTGAAGGTCTCAGGAGGTCGCTCCCTTGCTTGCAGGTGTAGACTACGCCTAGCGTCCATTAACTGGCATGCAATGCTCGCATGTGGCTCCCCGAAGCTAGGCTCTGCCTAGCGACCACACCCCGGTAACCGTCTCCATCGGCGGGCCAAACCAGATGAGGGTATCCGTGTGGGCACGGTAACTCGGCCCCGCTGGCCGGATAGACCACCGACTCGGCGTCTCCACGACGAGACTCCGCCTGCAACGCCGTACGAGGTCACAAGGTGTGTGCACCCCCCTCTCCCTCCCCCCGCCCCAGGTAAGCGAGCGTTGCTCTGTTGGATTGCCGTCTGGCTGTTTGCCTGTGTTTGTTGTTGTTGAAAACTTAATGCCCTTCTGTTGAATCTTTCCACTCACCGCTTATATTTCAGCAACCAGTTAGCTTAGAGACGGACGGTAAAGCTCTGCATGCCCTCTCTACACCCTTTCCCCATCCCCCCACTCCCCCTTCCCTTCAAGTCCTACGGCGTTGTCGTAGGCAGGCCCAGGCTAACTCGGGTAGATCTCCAACGAAACAAAAGTCATGGCCCGTAGTTGAATTCGGCAGCCCTTTGGGAAAACTGAGCGGCCCTACTAAGGGAGAACGCTGTTCAGCCCTGCGAGGGGGGAGGAAGTAGAAAAGGTGCCCGGAATAAATGCTGGGGATCCACGCCGTTTGCAGGCTGACCGTGGCTGCAGACGCAAAACTCACGGTCGAAACAATCAAACAAGAAAGAATACTCTCCTTCTTCCGCCTCCTCTCCACCGTCCCGCTCGCCAGACTGATAGGGTAGGTCCACTTACTCTGGCAGCCTGGAATGTTCGTTCCCTTTTGAACAATCCGAGGAGCAACCGGCCGAAACGGAGGACGGCGCTTGTGGCACGTGAACTGGCGTGCTACAAGGTGGACATCGCTGCACTTTGCGAGACTCGGTTCTCGAGCAAGGCAAACTGTAGGGGGTTGGTACAGGTTACACCTTCTGGAGCAGTCGCCCCAGGGCAGAGCGACAGGACGAGGGCATCGGTTTTGCCATCCGGAAGGACATCGTGGTACGACTGTCCTGTCGGCCGCAGGGTATCAACGATCGCCTGATGAGCCTCCGCCTGCCTCTCCGGGGAGGGGAATGTGCCGCCATCGTCAACGTCTACGCCCCTCTGATGACCAGCCCTGACGAGGCGAGGAACAAATTCTAAGAGGACCTACACGCACTCCTGGCGACTGTACCGAAGGCGGGTAAGTTGATGGCCCTTGGTGACTTCAACGCTCGTGTCGGCACAGACCATGCGGCCTGGAGAGGAGTGCTGGGTCTTGATGGCTTCACGACAATGGCCTGCCATTAGCAACCTGCTTGCCGATAACAACCGCCTGCATAAAGCCTACGTCAACAGTCCCACCAACGAAAACAAAGCAGCCTTCTATCATGGTCGCCGTTTTGTTCAACAGCGTCTGCCAAGGATGTAGGACGCTTGGATGGCTCACAAGGCCGAGGATATCCAAGGTTACGCGGATCGCAACGAATGAAAGATCTTCTTCTCCGCGATTAAGGCTGTCTACGGTCCGCCAACCAAAGCATCTGCTCATCTTCTCAGCGCCGACGGAAGTACCCTACTCGCCGGGAAGAAATATATCCTACAGCGATGGGCGGAGCACTTCAGGGGCGTCCTCAATCGTCCCTCAACCATTTCCGACGCCGCCATCGCCCGTCTGACCAATATTGACATCGACATTCCGCCTTCTCTACACGAATCCATAAAGGTCGTACAGCAACTCTACAGCGGGAAAGTGCGCGGATCAGACATGATCCCTTTTAAGATCTACAAGCAGAGTGACCCCCAACTCCTGGATCATCGGACCTCACTCTTCAGGGCAGTCACCACCAAAAATTAATTGGTAAAAATTTAACAGTATTATTCTGGTGGGTTGTGGGGTTTGCTGTACTTAACATACGCCAATCAAATAAACTTCCTTCTAAATGCGTTGTTAACGTCCGACTGAACACGCGAGTCATATGTTCCGTCGGGAACCGCTGTTACAATACAAGGATACTTTAGATTTTTGCTTTGCGTCAAGTAATATACTAATAACTGGTTAGGTAGACTGTGTACGTTGACAATGAATGTCCTTACGCAGTTTCAGAAGAGCATTTGGCGGGCTCACGCGTGCTTTCCATAAATTCCCATCGGGCCTGTACATTTATATGGGAAAGAGGTTCAAAATGAACATGTGAATGGTAAGTGCAATGGATTACGGTTCGACTTTTCATACAGACCGGGTATGTGAACAGAGGGGGGGGGGGGTAGGAGAGGAGGCAGTATGTGTCAGTGAGGGTTAGGTAGAGACGTGTCACAAAGGGGCAGAGGGGACGGGGGCGCGGAGAAATGCATAAAGTTAATCGATCCTTTCCCACGGCAGACGCGGAGCCTTCAAGATGTTCTTCCGCGCGCACAGAACCGGCCTCTGTAGCCCGATGGCAGTCGCCTCTGCTGCTGCTGCTGCTGCTGCTGCTGCTGCTGCTGCTGCTCCTGCTGCTGCTGCTGCTGCTGCTGCTGCCGCTGCTGCTGCTAGTAAACGCTGACCCAGTCGCTTAGGCCAGTTGGGTGGCACCTTGTAAATCACACGGAAGGCTCCGTTGGCATCCCCACGATGCCCAAAATCAACCATGTGTGCGAGGAGGGCGCTGTGTATGCTCTTCACCTCTCCTCAACCATACCGGCAGGCGTTCTCATATTTGTTGTGGATAGGCGCCGACTCATGTGACCAATATAACCTGCTCCACAGGAGAAGTTAAAGGAGTAAATGCACATAGAGGGGGTCTGAGGTGATTGCCTATCCTTACCTCCTCATGTAAGACGGGGTTGATCGAAAACAATACTTGAATTCTTGCTGCAGGGAAAGTCCGTGAAACGGCTTGCGCAAGACGCCTTCTCAGGAGTTTTCCGCCGAAATGAAACTTTGAGGAACAAAGTTTTCTTTGGCGCTGTCGGCGGAATGAGTTTTGCCGGTCGTTCGACAAGTTTCCTTACAATAAATCTGTCAGGACACTCGTTCTCGCAAAGCAGGTCCTGGATTCATCTAAATTGTTCATCAATGCTATCTGCCTAACAGATTTTTCTAGCCCTTGTTCCAAACAGTGGAAGTACAGAAGTTCGTATATTGTCCAGACCTCGTTCTCTTTCGATAGACGCTTCTTCGAACGCTGCCGTCGGCTCTTCTGCTTGAAAGAACTTCAATGAAAGGCAGGGAGCCTGCCGTTCCCCCCTCCAACGCAAATTTTTATTTTACAGTATGCAAGAGTGTAGTTATGTTGTCCTCTCTAGTGACAATTGCGAGGTTGTTGTCAATGTAGCTTATTCATTTGGCCGTTCACCTGAAACGTACCCAACTTGCCCATGAAGACATCGAGTAGGAGAGGAAGAGGAGGCGATCCCATAGCAACTCCGCCTATTTGTCTATATATTTGGTTGTCGAAAAGGAAATGTACACTTTATGCGCATTTTAGTAATGGTTCCTAGAGGGCGTTCATCGGAATACCTATTTTCTGGTGCTTGATTGACAGAAATTTGCATACCTCCCCAGCTGTCTCTGTGACCGGAACGTTTCTGAAGAGTGGTGAGACATCAAGTGAAAACATCGCCATACTGTTTAGGTTTAGGTTTTTGACGTCCTCTATGAATTTGATACGGCAGCCATGTGGCGCTGTCCGATACTGTACAGGCTTGAATTTCTCTACTAACCAATTCAGTATCGCATGATAGGCAGAGTTTCGCATGTCGTGAAGACGTCTGTCTTTCCGAAAATAAAGTCCTTTTTGCCTTGATTTATCTGATTTTCGAGGATTCATGAATAATCTTCTCACGAACCTAAGGTCGGTTGGTAAAACACACCGCTCGCAGAATGATACTCTGAGGTAAATGTGTGGTACACTGCAAATATTAACACAGGCAGCTACCGAAATAAAAGGTGACGCCGATTTTCACTATGATTTGCAAACTGCTTCCGTGATAAATTTAATTCAAAGTATATTTTGCATGAGAAAATGAGATTTTCGCAACGAGATAAGTGAAAACAGAAAGCAAATAAGGTTTTACACGCCCCAAAATGATCGTAAAATTTTCCTGACCAACATATATGACTTATGTCACCTCCTGCAAAGCATAAATAATGCACTTTTCATTCGTAAGGACAGGTGTAATGTCTGGACATTCTAAACGCTGAAATCCTGTTTGCTTACTCCATTCATGACATTCGCCATTTTTTCGCCTATGTAGCTGTAACGTTCAATTTTAGAAAATTATTTGTGCAAGTTGATAAGTAAATACCCGGACTGTAATTTAGGAAATTTGTGAATTTTACTCCACAACTTTATCACGTGGTCGTCTTCATGTAGAGTGTACGCACAGCCGCTTAGGGGGCAGTTTTGTCCGTCATTCCGTACTACAGCGTCTGCTTGTGTTTTTATGGTCCGCGGTCCGTCATTGGTTAAAAAAACTTTCAACAATCCCTCTCAAATTTCCATTGGTCCATCCGATGCGTCTCACCCTCATAAGCCACTCCCGAAGTGAGGCAGGAAATGCAGAATGACGAGTGTTCCAAGACCGCTTTGTCGTTGTAGCAGGGATTTGGACAGGCTTGACGTCTTAGATGTCTGTGCGCTTCTGCTGGAGACCTTCGGCTTCATCGCCAACTTCACAGTCACTCTTATCCTCTTCCTGCTTCGCGCCAAGAAGATCGAGTCCCTGGCCCTCCTGCGCGTTCTCTCCCTCAGCTGCCTGGCTGCCACATTCGTCGACTTTCTCTCTGACGTCGCTGCCCGAAGCAGTAACACCGGCAACGCCTTCTTTGACGGCCTAGTCTGTGTGCTCTGGAGTAGTCGTTTCATCTTCTGGTACAGCAAGGCTCATGTCTACCACAGTCTCTTCTTCTTCGCCTGCAACAGGGCCATCGAGATGCTGCACATCAAGAATTATCCCATGACTACGCAGAAACAGCGTCTCACTGCCTACATGCTACTGGTGTTCATCTGCAGTTTCCTCAGTACGGCACCCCAGCTGCTGTTAGCGCAGCCGCATGTGAAAAACTGCGCCTGTGCTCCGCCCACGCGTAACCTTGTCATTCTAACAATGATTTATGCCCACACCTTCCTCTGGGTGACAATCCTCGCGGTCATCTATCCCGCCATTCTCGTCTACATCTGCATTGCTCTGGTTTTGCGAGCTCGCAGATCAGAGGGGGACGCACTGGTGGACGAACTTGACCAACTCTACTTTCCGAATTCCCTCACATCCTCACCATCCTCCAGCACCACCGCCACATCTGCCAGCTCCCCCTTGACTCACACCATCCCTTGTGACGGTGAGAGAAATAGTGCCGCCACTCGCTATGCAACTGATGATGACTCTGAACCTCGACTCTGGTCAGCCTCATTTTGTCTCATACCCCTGAGTGTTACCTACATAGTGACCTTCAGCTACGATGCGACCTACCAGTTCCTCAGTGCGACTGGTACAATTACCTACATGCTGCGGAGTCCACGTCAACAGTTTGGTGAGATCCTGTTGATCCTGTTCACCGCGCTGGTGCCCTTGATAATCTTTTTCCACATTCCCGCAATGCGATCGCTGATCTTCGTCGCGATTGCCGCTCTGCAAAAGTGCTGCTGCAAGTTCAAGCTGACGGATGCCGGTGATCAGTCTGGTTTAGGCTTGAATTCGCGAACGTGGCAGACGGCGATCCCTTGAGAGACTAAATAATTATTGTATTATTTTATTGTCCAAAATGGTTTGACAGACTAGTCAGGTGTCATTAATCCGTTTCCTGTAATAACTACGGAAGGCACGCCTTCATCCGGCTGGTGTCCCGATCGTACACAGGTCGACGGGACTTCGGGCACAAATAAACTTGATGTTGTACTTGATTTCTGCCAGAATATTATTTTTGGTGATGTTTTTATTTATCAGAATGCAGTCAAATAAATTAAGAAGATGTTAGTGTTAATGTTTTTGCCCTACTTATGATGCCGACGCCCGAACTGTCGAAACTCCAATAAGTCGAAAAGATGCACCAATTTGTAAGCTTTAGCGGTATTTCCCGGGAATTTCAAGCGGCAGCCGATAGGACTTGTCCACGTACGTAGCTTTTCCATTTTAGCCTTTGCGAGCCGGTGATCATGCAAAACGACATCGAATTTTTTTGCTAACGGCAAAATATTTACGCTTCCTACTATTCGAAAGGCAATTTAGCGAGCAGACGTCTGCTTCCGATAAATTCTCTTCAGGCCTGTACATGTATATGACTATTGAAGTAATGAATTAAAAGATACGGGCAAGTAAATAATTAAGCTGTAGCTCGGGTTTGGGGAGGGGAGGGGAGGGGAGAGTGAAACATCACAATTTCAGTCAGCGCCAGGGAGGAGATGGGTCCCGGCGAAGGTAATTACATGCGGGTGACTGGCTTGTTGGCTTTTAACCATGGAAACTGTGGGACCTATATGACGTTCTTCTGTGCGCATGGGACCGGTCCGCGTAGCCTGATTGCAGCCGCCCCTGCCGTAACCAACAAGCGCTGCCCACGTAGTTTTGGATAGCTTGATGGGACCTTGTGAATCACTCTGAAGGCCCTTCTGGCGTCTACACGGTGGTCTGTGTCTACCATATGCGCGAGGATCGAGCTGTTGATGGTCTTTATTTGTCCCTTTCCTGGCTATGCTGGGAGATGTTCTTTCATTCTTTTGGATAAACGCCGGCTCGTGCGACCAATATATTCTGCCCCACAGAAACAGGTGAATGAGTAAATACACATAGAGGTGGTCTGAGCTGATAGCTTGTCCTCGCCCTCTCCGTATAGGATTGGACTGGTGGAGAACAGTGCACGGGTGTCAGCTGCTGGAAAGGTCTGTGCTACAGCTTGGGTTAGCCGCCTTCTTAAAAGTTCACTTGGTGCATTCCCTTGAAATGGGACCCTGATAATTAGCCTTTTCTTTCCTGCTGTCAACATCGAGGGCTTTGGTGGTCTTTCCGTCATGTTTTATTTGATAAGCTCAGATACGTTTTTCACGTACGGGAGAGTCCGCCACGTGAACACTTCTGGTGGCTGGGTGGCCGTAGTGTTCTAAATACCCTTCGGTTTGAACATATTATTCTTCATACACTAAAGTACAAAGTCACGTGGCTGCCCGTTGCACGAAAATATTTTGAGGAGGCATGCATTACTGCGAAACGGCTCTACGTAAAATATCTATGTTTCCGCTAATACGCAATTAAGACATGAACGGGCAAGGGATCAGCAGTTTTCGAAATAGTTTTATGTTTGTATGGTCACTCTGTTATGCATTTAAAATCTCACAACGGAGCATAAAAGTAAACAGATATAATGAAAGTGGCTTTTACATGAAGGAAAAATGATCTTTTTCATTGTTAACAAAAAATGGGCCACTTATTTTCAGGAAAGTGAAAAGGCCGATCAAACGTTTCAATTTTTACTTTGAATTAACCTTGGAAAAGGTACAGTCTGTTATGCATTTGAAAATCTCAGAACGGAGCATAGAAGTAAAGAGACATAATGAAAATGGCTCTGATATGAAGGAAATAATGATCCTTTTTCATTTTTAACAAAAACATTTTTCACTTATTTTCAGGGAAGTGAAAAGGCCGATCAAACCTTTCAATTTTTACCTTGAATTAACCTTGAAAAATGTATAGTACTCAGACTTCAGTCGGCGATATACTTATTAAAGCGCTTGTCAAAGAGATATCTTATTAGAGAAAGTTCTGTAAATGCTCAGAGGCATACTTATTGCCGAGTTTTGCTGTGGACTTTCTGTTTTCTCGGCGATGAGGTTTTGTATCTGGGCGAGTCTACCGATATGACCCATACGGCCATTTACATTAGAACGAATGTCCAAGAACTCATTACTCCGGTAAATGCTTTCAAGAAGTATCTTCTTTTAAAGGTTTTGATAAACGCCAAGAAAGGAATGTACCTTTATGAGCAAGCGATTGAAACACTGAAAACCATGAAATATTCATTGCTATTTAAAACTCATCCTGCTCCAACACTGGCAATAGTTATTAAGAAATGCTGCGGACGAAAACTGTCTAAATATACATAAAGTGATCCGTTTGCGATTACACCTAACCATTCAATCTACATTTATTGGTCGCTCATTGGCTTATCAGTATGTGATCATATGGCAAATTTTATTTCATCAACGTCCCTATCGGCGAAGCCAAGCGAACTCTTGCTTGCTCTAATCAACTGCGACTCAGACTATATGAAAACGGAAAAACACCAACGCCACCGACGATATGGCATTCTCTGCCATACATCAAGGGTGTTTCAGAAGCGACCGAGCGCATTGCTGCGGAGCTAGGGGTTGGAATCGCACACCGCCCCAAAGCCACCATGCGCAACAGGGTCATGAAGATCAAAGACCGGTTAAAACCTGAAGAGCAGTCTGGAGTAGTGTATCGCAGTCCGTGTCAAAATTGTCCTTGTAATTACACAGGACAGACTGGACGCATGCTCGGATCGCGCATACATGAACATAAGCTGGCTGTGCGGCGAGGTGACGCATTATCACAAGTGGCCGCCCACACCTACGAAATGGGTCACGAGTTTGACTTCGCAGCCACCAAAATAGTTGCCCACGCCGGAAACAAAACAGGCCGAGAATTGATTGAAGCCTGGGCCTCGGATGAAAACTCGGTCAATCGATTTATCGATCTGGCGCCGGCGTACAGAGCCCTTCGTAGTCACCTCCAGTCGTGCGACGTCGGTCGATGATTGGGTCTACGTGCCTTATAACTGCCGCTTGTCCTGTTTCTGCCACTACCTCTGACGATGGACTCCTGTACGAGTCTGAAAGCTCAGGATAATAAACGAATTGTTCCGGTGCTCGACTCTTCTTCTTCTTCAAAACGGAAAAACTACAGCCAACTCTTGGGAAACCGTGTTGGCTGTGGGCTGTTGGCACAATGCCGTACTTGACTTGACATATATTCGTGAGTGATATTTAAGTGCATACCTCACCACTAAATTGGCCCACCGACTGAAATACCTGCAGGTTCCGGACAGTATCTCCACCGTCGAGACACGATGGCGTCAACTGTCGATCGTCATCCATTCTATCCTCCTCGACGTCCTCGTCCGCGAATGTCTTCAACATCAGGATTGGTTTAGCGATAACGAAGCAGACACCAGTAATCTAATCGTCGAAAAGAATGGACTATACATAACTTACATCGACTACCGCAACCAAACAGACAAAGCGGTTTTCTCCAGGTGTCGGCGCTCTGTGCAGCAACAGCTGTGGGAAACTCCCAGGTATGAGGACCGCTTCACGCAAGGCGGTCTACGGCCTCACAGTCAAAGGAGGCGCGTCGCTTCTCAACCTCGACTGAACAACACTCCTCATGGTGAAGTTTTTACTTCTAAGGCGCTGGGCCGAGTATTTCAGACCCGTTCACACAATCCAATGTATTTATACGCGTTTGTTTGAATATTATGACCCTAATTATGTACAATAACTTCGCACACTTACAGTGAGTAGAGCTGCAAACATTTAGATTGTTTTCATTTCCGAGGTTCATAATACCCAAGGGAATAAATGCTGATGTTCACTGTGACTCAGTACGGAAATATTATGGGCGACAAGGTACTTTACAAATCTGGCTTTCAGCAGTCATGTTGTGAAAGACGATGTTTTCGAAAATTACGTGACGGAGTTTTCTTTTAAACAAAAAAATGGTCTAGATGACCGCCATCTCACTTCGCAGCGAGTTCCACGATCGGATATTTCGCGATGAAGTCGCGCTCGTTCGCCTTCCACTTTGTAGGGATGGCCGCCTATATGATTTCTACAGACAAATTCGGAGATTTCCACCGTTCTCAGCGAGCAAACATGGTCACGGATGATTCAGAAAGTCCACAGCAGGCTACGGCTTAGTCGCCTGTACGTTAGAGGTATTAAGTCAAGCATATTCAACTTATCCTGGTACTACAGATACTCAAGACCGCCGCCCATCTACGTTGCCCTGCGTTGTCCCTGTTCGAAGAGGTCAGAATATTTCCTCATCGAGGGCTTAGGTGCTGGTATTCCCTATTCCAGGTAGGTCTCACGAAGATGTCAAAATTCTTATGAAAATTCCCGACACTACAGTCGACCAATATCTTAAGTGGTGGAAATTAACAACGATCTGGAACTCCTGCCCTCCCTCCCTCCCTGAAAATATCTGAACTGTGCAACAACTATCCATCGAGAAAGCGTCGGGATCCAAAGCGATAACGGCCGAAGTCTACAAGCAGGCTGGTTTTCCGCTGATGGCCAAGCTTACAATGGTAGTTCAGAACATGTGGCACGAAGAAAGAGTCCTCCAAGATTTCAGGGACGCAGCCATATTTCAACGCTACATGCGTTAGTGGAGCCGACAAAACTGCGATACTTACAGAAGAATCTCGCCTACCGAGTTGAGCGCCTTGGGATCTGCATTATCTACAGGGCCGGTGGCAAGCATATCAGTGGACGCGCATGCAGTCACCAACGCGTCTATCCACGACCACTGTTCATGCTCTGCTCTTTGTGGACGAATGCGCACTCAATAACGCGGCAGGGCCTGAGATGCAAAGGTGTACGAACCTTTTCGCCGCCGGCGGCGCCAACTTTGGGCTGACCATCAACATGAAAACTACGGTGGTTACGCTTCATTCGTCACCCGCCATTGAATAAAACGTCCTCACGCCA